GCAAATTTATCCCTCTCCATATTTATCAAGCCACATTTCAACTATTCCACCTTGCTCTTTTTCCTCACTTGGTTTTACAATGTGCATTCACAAACATAATACTGACTATCTTTAACTAACTACTGGAATCTGTTGCAAAGAAGATAAGATAAGAGATAGGATAAGACTTTATTGATCCCACAACGGGGAAATTTTTGCGTCACCTCAGCTCAGGTACAGATATCAGAAGGAAATACAAAAATACAATAAGTACAATCAATGAAAAAAAAGTAAGATAATACACCATATACAATGGTAGCATACACAGTATGTGATTATGGATATGGATGGAAATATGGAAGACATAAACTATATAGCTTGATATAGCTATTGTACCACTACTATTCCTGTTTATAGACATGTACACACACACACGTACACACTAAATATACATATGTATACATATACATACATATATACCTGCACATGTCTATACACATGGAAGGTCCATTATGCATGAAGTGGTGACAGTGGATGTTCACAGTGTCCAGTGACTTATGACATTGTGATTGAGGAGTTATAGAGTCTAACTGCTGTTGGGATGAATGATCTGAGAAAGCGCTCCTTCCTGTAGCGAGGGTGTTTCAGTCTCTGACTAAAGGAGCTGCTCAGCCCACTCACATACTCATGCAGTGGGTGATGTGGGTTGTTCATGATGGATGTCACCTTTACTAACATCCTTCCCTCACCAACCACCTCCACAGACTCCAGGGGACATCCCAGCACGGAGCTAGACCTCCGCACCAGTTTGTCAATCCTGCTCCTGTCCCTGTCCATGCATCCAGTCCCCCAGCAGGCCACTGCATAGAAAAGGGCAGATGCTACCACAGTGTCATAGAATGTCCTTAACAGAGTCCTGCAGACTCCGAAGGACCTCAGTCTCCTCAGCAGGTGGAGTCGGCTCTGGCCCTTCTTATACAGGACGTCTGTATTTGTAGTCCAGTCCAGTTTATTGTTGAGGTGAACACCCAGGTACTTATAAGAGTCCACTATCTCAATGTCTTTCCCTTGGATGTTCACCGGTGTTGTAGGGGGTGACTTCCTCCTGAAGTCTATGATCATCTCCTTTGTCTTGCCGGCGTTGATTTGGAGTACGTTGGTCCCACACCAGCCAGCAAAGTCACTGATGACCCCCCTGTATTCCTGATCATTCCCGTCTGATTTGCATCCAATGATGGCTGTATCATCTGAGAACTTCTGTATATGGCAATCGTCCGAATTATAACAGAAGTCTGAAGTGTAAAGGCTGAACAGGAAAGGTGAGAGAACCGTGCCCTGTGGTGCCCCCGTGCTGCAGATTACCACCTCGGACACACAGTCATGGAGCCTCACATACTGTGGTCTGTTGGTAAGGTAGTTGATGGTCCATGCAGTCAGCTGTTTGCCTACTCCGGCTCCCTCCAGCTTCCCTCTCAGTAGTGCAGGTTGGATGGTGTTGAAAGCACTGGAGAAGTCAAAAAACATGATCCTCACAGTGCTCCCCGCCGGCTCTAAGTGAGAGAGGGATCGGTGTACCAGGTAGATGACAGCGTCATCCACCCCAATTCCAGAACGGTAGGCAAAGAACTTTGGCTCCTCATGTGTTGTTTATTTGATGTTTATTGTACACTGTACTATTTTTATTCTTTATCACACTGTTGTAACAATAATTTCCCCCATGAGGTCAATAAAGTATCTATATATCTATCTAATATAATAAGAAATTAAAATGAGAGATTTCAAAACCTAGGACAGCAACCAAGGCGTTCTCATTAAATGTTCCATTAATATCCAATGAATCTAATCTAATGTAATATACAATATATATTTAGACTCAGACTTACTCATTACTGCTGGTTGTTTCTGAGGACTGTCTCTTGAAAGCTGACATGCCAAACCACATCATCCACTCCAAAATAGTTTTGCCTGGAAACCGAAAACATAACTATAATAACTATGTTATAAAGTCAGGGCACATGCCTTTTTATGCTTAAATACGTTTGTTACATTTAACTGCAAGGCATGGCATGAATAAATGTACAGATTTAGCCTCTTAAATATTTTAATGTTCCTTCAAACAGAGGCCTGCAGATTCAGTATTAAGGATCAGTGAAAACCTCATGTTTTTCCTCTATAAACCTCTCATTCTCTCAACACTCAGCAGCACTCATCTGCTACATCTATTTATGGACATGTGACCTTCTTGAGAATTATACTTTGTAGGCAAAAACAAGGAACTGCAACAGGCCACATGTTAAGAGAGGGAGAGAAAAAGAAGGGAAAGATGCAGACAGACTACACACAGAGGTAAATGAAGAAGTGCTGACAGTGACATATGAGAGGACCATAGAGTGACTTACAGGGATAATCTATAGCGAGATTAAGACAGAAATAGAATGAGAGTGCAGCAGAAACAGGGTCACACATGAAGGGTGAAATAGGATACAGGACAGAGAGCAAGAGAACGGATAAACAGATGTGAAATTCTGAGTTCTGCGTGTGAGGGAAACACTGAAAACTGAAGACACCATGCTGTTGGCACGGGCACATAAGTTCAAATCTACAAAGTAATAGGACGACAGCTTCCTTGCAAAGGAAACAGACTGGCAGCACTTTGCAATCAGTCGGAGTCAGTTTGGACTGATGAGTGTAAACTGTCTGCGATGCAGCTCAGCTAACGTAGTTGTATTCTGGTTATATCTGTGTGCAAAAGCATGGTTGCCAAGCACTCCTGTCATTTTGCATTTAAATATCTGTTTTGCAGCAACTACCTCACTTTTTGCAGATTAATTTTTGAAATTAGGTCTCAAAAATGAAGGTCTGACTGGACTCTGAATGTAAGTAATTAATGTGAATTAATGCCTAATGTGAATTTTTGCTGAGAGTTCATCAACATATTAGCAAAAATAGACTGATAAGAGACTGACTGTATCTTATTGCCTTTTCATCATGGTCTTGATGCATCAAAGTCACCAAAGGTTGCAGCTGACTGCGAGTGTTTGCATATCTGATCACTGTTTTTAAAGCAACCAATTCAAGGGCAGTGATACGAAAAAGGTTCAGAGCCAAGCGATGCTTCTTCAGCAGTTTTATCGTAAGTTTCTTGGTGAGATTGTAACAATACAGTGTTACATATGAAACATATGAACAGAAGAGGAGAATCACACACAGTCCAAAAAGCAGAGTTAACTGACAGGCAAAAACAAAAGTCACCACAGATTTACAGGATCTAACAAAATTACAATACCATAAAATCAGCCAACATGACTCTTCAGGCAGGCTTTTTCAAAAAGAGCGATTCATTATTCTCGGTTTTAGTCTGACGTTTTTGTAGTATTGATTAAATGGGGTGCATTGCATTCGAATCCCTGTCAGCAACATCCATCTGAAGAGTCATCAAACAAGGAACGCTGACTTCTATTAACTTACACTGAGCTCCAGTGGGTGTAAAGAAATTGAATTAGCCCTGTCCAGGGTGTACCTCTCCTCTTGCCCTGTTGCAACTGGGATAGGCTTTAGCCTCCACACTATGTAGAATGACAGAAGAACAGATGGAAGAAACATGGATTTGAGTCCCCAGGTCTGATTTGACCTTGTGTCAGTCAAAGATGCTGTAGATCAGCAGTTCCCATCCCCCGGGTCACGGACCGGAGTTGTTTGTTACCCGGCAGCAGGAGTTGAGGCTCAGGTGTGAAATTTATGGTTTTCAGGGTTTTTATCGTTTATTATTGTTAACTCAGTTTCCCTGGGCCTTTTTGCGTGTGTTTTTGGTACCGGTGTTGTGCCAAAAAGTGATTGTCTGTTAAAAACTGATTTCTGGTATTTGCCAAAAACTGATTGCTTGTATTTAAACTGCTATAAATAACTTGTTGGTCTATAATATGTGAAACATATGTCAAATGTATCCCTCATAAATGATATCACATCATCTTGAGCAACAAACAACATTCCTGTAGCAAGGTAGAAGCCGCAATCAGTTTTTGGCAGTGGCCTTTATGTATGCTTTATTTATGCAGTTAAAAAAATTATTGTTGACTTTAAAATATTCTCTTTTAAGCGTAATCTGGCCAAGAGGACAGCTGAAATTGCAACAAAGGCAAAAATAGTTCTGTAAAGATATTTTAAGTGGACAAAAGGGAGCTGATTGATTATAATGTAAGTACAATAACACAGTTACAAAGATACTTGAGAAACAGGTAAATTTTAAATTTTATATACAACCCATTTGTAATACCCATTCACCAAAGTCTATTTAGCAACATACATAACGATATTACACATAAAAAACACACGGAAACATTGGAAATCAGTTTTTGGCAGGCAATCACTTTTTGGCACAACACCGGCACTGGTTTTATTTTGTTGTATTTATCCGTGACACCTTAAAGACCAGTCCGTGAAAATATTGTCGGACACAAACCGTCCATGGCCCAAAAAAGGTTGGGGACCACTGCTGTAGATAGTAGATAGTACCAAAGACAAATGCTGTTTTAGATAATAAAGCGAAATAACAATTTGTATTATTGTATAAAACCAGAGAAATCCTAAATATTAAAAAATCATTAAAATATTCTTTAAATTAGTGAGAGTTTAGCTAATAATGAGCTGGCTAGCTAGCAAATAAGCTAGCGCTTTGATTTAAGCTACCACAGGCTAAGTTGTGTTAGCACTGCAAGTAGGTAATGTATAAAACCAATATCCTGATACTCTGTAGGACTGCAGCTAACTTTACTTTAGTTCTTAAGCGAAGAAAGACCACATTCATTTGACTATGATGCTAAAGCTAATACAGCTTCTTAAGGATTTAAAAGATAACAAAAACATGTTTTCTAAAAAAAAAAGAAAAAAAAAGAACCTAATTCACTTAAAACAGTAAATCAAATAATGAACTGTGATGATAAACTAACTTGTTTAATTTTGGCTTGTTCAAGCTGTCCATCGATGTTTGTGTGTTCTTATGGATATATATGAATGATATATGCTTCAAAGTGAATTCGATATTTATTATTTTCCACATACAGACGTTTTGCAGATAAACAATAATACCAGACTAAATATCAAAATGCAAAGGCAACCCTTCAAGAGCAAACATGGGTTATTACAAATGACACAAATCAACTGCAAAAAAGTACAAATATATTAGAAAACACACTGGAGATATAGAGAAAAGGGAACGCAAGCATATATTTGCAACTCTTCGACCTGGAAAAATGCACATTTTGCAGTTTTAAATGGTTAAATCTGCACGTTTGTTAAGCGATGTTACATTTTCTAGTAAATGACATAAACTGCTGAATAATTTCATAAACAGTGATATATATGTTTGGTTGATGACAGTGAAAACAACCTAACTATAGCTTCATTTCCTTTTCTATTCATTTGAAACCATGTTAACAGAAATGCAGACACATTTTTCTTTTTTCCACAATGTGTTTTTCTGCTCATTAGTCTAGTTCAGTCAATCCAATTGACAGTCAAACCCACTGATGGACAAAGCTGTCGATGTTAATGTATTAAAATTTAAAGGGTGAACAATTCATTTTACATTTTATGTCCTGGGATACCGCTCCATCAATCCTGAACGTAGTGGTTTCCCCAGCTGTGGCTGAGGCGCACCTGTGGATGCCATTTATGGAGATTAAAAACAAATAAACAAACAAACAAAAGAAGTCACAGATTAGCCCATATAAGGAGAATGAACAGAGCTCTTCCTGATGTTTTACAGTAATGTCATTTGATTCACTTGTGACAGCTGTTCGATCCTGCTGTTAGAACTGTGCAAAAGTCTTGAGCCGGCCCTCATTTTTTAATATTTTGGTAGGAATATGGGTGTAGCAATTTCTTGAAAGGTGCACACATACACGGAAATACATTAACTAAGATGATCCCACACTGCTTCAGGAATGTTGAAGTCTGGGCTCTGGGGAGGCCAATCCACGACTGTGTGTTTTTCTAATCATTTCTAATTTTATGGCATTGACAGTGTGTTTGGATCATTGTCATGCTCAAACATGAAAAGGTCAGTTGCCAAGCAGCGTTTTCCAGATGGTCTTGCACGGTGGGCCCATTTCTCCTGGCCTCCGCTGTGCCTGCTGACAGTGAGTTACACCAGAAATGTTACATTTGGATTCATTGGTCAATAAGACCTGTCTCTACTGATTTTTATTACAGCTTTTGTGTAATTTGGCACATTTTAGTCCCTGTTTCCTTTCTTTAGGAAGCTTCTTGACAGCTGCCTTTCCACTGAAACCATTTCTGATGAGGCTTTGGCAAACAGTCAGTGGATCAACTGAAAATCCTGTGTTGGGTCTTTGGTCGATTTTGCCTATTTCTTAAGCAAATGACTTTCAGATATCTGCTGTAGAGCTTTTAAGGCCTGCCACTTCTCCTGTCCTCTATTCATCCATTTGCCTCATATTTTTTAAGGGCAGACTGCACACCATGCTGAAATAGCACTTTATTTTATTGCTATGAAATGGCTAGGACTATTTTATAACTATTTGTGGCTGAAGACTTTTGCACCGTTCGTAAAATCTGTATGAAAGATCACCAAATCATGGCACACCTCAGGCAGAAGCTCTCTGGATTTGCACAGTGTTCAGATTCAGTCTGTGAATAATTTAATCAGGACATCAGACTGGCAGCTTGGAGGGAACGCCGCTCTTAAATGCTCGCTGATCTGATTTTTCTACATATGGCATCCAGATACATTAATAGAATCACACAAGAGTAGGCTACAGTGGTAAAATATGCTAAGTGTGCTACTATATCAAACTGACATACATCACAGTTGGGATGTTGGATGGTTTCTTGTGACACAGAGGCTTCATTGCTTAAACACTGATTTATGTACAGTGTGTTCCTTCACCCACAGCCTACATGGGAGCTTCCTCGGTGCAAAGCAAGCTGCCTCTCTGTGTGCAGGAAATATTAAATATGGCTTTCTACAGTGTCTCACGCTGCCAGTTTCACCAGTGACTCGAATAATCCAGGCTTAAGGGTTCAGCAGCACAAAGGCCTCTCCATCACCTACACAGGGTTCACAGTTTTCTCTCCTGCATTTTCAGAGACTGGAGGCAGTGAAGCTTCATCTAAGGCAGCTAGAAGGCCTCTAGCTTGAAAAATACCTATTAGAGCATTGATGCTGCATAACAGGAGAGAGCCGGGCAGCTATTTTAAAGACTTGATGTTTTTGAATTTACATCCAGTGGCAAAGCTGGCTTAGGCCACTGGGACAACATGGAGAAGATACATTTACATGAGGAGTGGATGAGAAACAAGAGCCTTGCCTCCCCTTTGTAGGAGAGTGCCTTTCACCTGCATAAGGGTAAAAGGATCTCACAGCTTCTAAATCAATAGCTGACATGCTCTCTGGCAACCTATAAATGGCCCATTTGCAGGAAACCTTCTCGTCAAGGTCTTCCTCTGTAGATCCTGCAATCTGTCATCTTCTCCATTCATTTAAATCTCACAATGATTTTAAGTCCTTCATTTGAGGGCTTTTGATATCAGGCAACATAAATGTAGGGAGGGGGGAGACGATAAAAGTCTAATATTTCTCAACAAAAGAAGAATCTGTTGAATGCTTTTTCAAATCCTTGAAACATCTTTGCTGTTTTTGCCTCGGGTCATTAAAACTAATTTAGAGCCAGCTGTTTAGCTTTTAAGGCGGTAGAAATGGTGCAATCACAACAAGGGTGAAATGTGACAAATATGAAGCTCTGACAGCAAAAAACCGCCAGTAAAATAAGCTGCTGCGGTTAATAATGACCTTGGAAAACACCGAGCTAGGGCTGGTTTCAGATTACTCAGATTGTGTATATATGTGCAAATAAGTGGAAGAATTTCTAAACTATACTGTAGTTGAAAAGGCAGCTTCATCTTATTTCTGAATTGTTAACAGATGCATCACTCCCAGGATGTTGGTGATTGTTCAGTCCTTTGCACAAGCTTTAAGCCCCTCTACCGTCCACCTCGTAGTGTCAGCTTTAACACCCCCATCCTTCTCCTAAACTACAAATTTAAACGACTCTTGTCTTTCGCCCTATCATCCCTTTTCCTCTTCCTTCTTCAAATGTAGAGAAACTCTTCTCTCCTCCCTTCCATTATTCCTCCCGCTCCTCCTTTTCCTCAACAAGGACAAGTACTCTTTGTCTCAGTCTCTTGTGTGAGTCGCACTCGCCCATCCTCTCTCTCCACGTCTCTGTAGAGCAGAGACTTCTGAGCCTTCAGACGGCAGGCCAAGGACATAAAGATCGAGTTGACGTTCTGACTTTCTCTCGGGTCCTTTGCCGACGTCTCGAATAGCAGCATGTTGTGGGCGTCGGCGAACTTCAGCGCCATGTTGGAGGGCACCTGGGAAAGCACAAGTGATCAGTTGTTAAGTGGATGATGAATAAACCCTGAAGTCACGCTGTGATCCTCGGCGGCGCACACAAACCTGTATTTGGTCCACAAGGTCGCACTTGTTCCCCACCAGGACTCGAGGTACTGATGCCGACACCCGATGACCATTGCACTCCTGGAAAGTGAAAAGCATATCGCTTTATAAACTTTGGCTGTGTGTCTGTAAAACCATGTAGAGTACAACATAGACATTTGGTCTCTTGGCTGTGAAAACAAAAGAAGGACTTTTTCACATTTAAAATACATCCATGTCATCGCACTGGTGCCAGGATGTGCGAGAAGTCCCCGTTCCCACCATTCAGTGTAAATAAATGACACTATAGAATAATATATAAATAATCACGTGTAATTAAAAAACCTTATATATTAAATTATATTGAATAAGATATTACATTATATATAATTTACAAATTATTTTACTGCTGCTAAAAATTACCCACAGTATATCTACTGATAATACTTAGAATATCAGGACTTCACAGTGAGCTGTACTGAAGGGATAACAACAAGCTGGAAAGCATCTGTCATGCAAAACCACTGATATAAATATCGTGTATAAAAAAAAAAACCACAATTTTTTTTCTAGCAAATGCTGACAGAACTACACTAAATTAAAAAGGGAGTGTTGGCTATAAATTATTTCCATTTTAGACATTCCAACAAATTGCTGTGGCAGGAAAACAGGTTACTGCACATTAACCATGACTCACTTTCACTGAGAGGAGACCCTGGAAGCTGTGCCAGTGAGACACAGAGCTAAACAGAGCTTGTATTAACACTTAGAAATGTCTTTGTCTTTACAACATCCCACAAAATTACTCTACTTGTGTGAATTTTACACTTGCAGTGCCGCCATGCCACTGCCACATTAGTCTTTAAAGGGCTGCAAATGCTAGTCAAAATGAGCTTAAACAGGAGCTTAGGTTCATTTTACTGTCCTTGTTCGGGGGTAGTAGGGGCCACATTGTCAGTAGTGCAAATAATGAACATTATTATAGCAGTGTCAGTTTGCTGTTACACATTGAAATGATTTTGGCCAGTGTGTATAACAACAGCAGTTGTAACATTGTCACACATGTAAACATAGATCTGTATTGTCACTGTTACTACTGTTTCAGATCTCCCCAGACTATAAGGCAAAAAGAAAGTGCAGCTTTATGGTTTCACACAGCAAAATCTCCAGTGTTAAATTAACACTGGAGAGTGTCTATATGAGTCCACACCTCTGAGTATTAAATACAACACTGTTGAGTGTTAAATTAACACTTTTGACAGTGTTATATGTTTAAAAGTAACTTAGTCAGGTTTGAAGATTAACAATGGCTAACACTGAGCAGTGCTGATTTTCTAACACTGGAATATTTCTAACATTTTGAGTTATTTTCCAGTGTTAGAAAATCAGCACTGCTCAGTGTTAGCCATTGTTAATCTTCAAAACCGACTAGGTTACTTTTAAACATATAACACTGTCAAAAGTGTTAATTTAACACTCAACAGTGTTGTATTTAACACTCAGAGGTGTGGACCCATATATACCCTCTCCAGTGTTAATTTAACACTGGAGATTTTGCTGTGTAGATTTTTACATTAAAATGACTAATAATAAAGAGAAAAGATACAAACATATATAAGCTGTAAGGTGCAATTTAAGGTGCAGTGTAATCAGTGGTAGTGCACATTGAGTAAGCACTGTTTATAATGGGTAATTAAGGGAAACCTGAAAAAAGAAGAGAAGGGAGAAACACCCTTCCACCATGTTGAGTGTTGACATTGTATATAGTTTGTCCACTAGAGGGCGCTCTGCAACTTATTGTCAAGAGGGAAAAATATTGGCCGACATATGGAATACTGGCTTTTGAAATCATCAAATATTGGTCTTAAAAATGCGATATTGGTTGGATGACCATCTCTAGTGACGTTATCACTGATTCTTGTGTTTACTTTCAGATGACTGTAGTTGCATTTCAGTTTTACAACTTATGTCTTGGTTCAAGTCTTGATTGTTATTAATAGTTGAGACTTAGACTCAGAGAAAGAGAACTGCTGTGTAGAAAATCTGACTGCACATGATTTGACTTTCCCATTTGTTTTTTTCCTTCTTCCCTTTTCAGATTTGGTGAATGGCTGGTAAAAGTACGCATTTTTGGATTCATCTGCCTCCTGTGTCGTCAAACTCCAGAGTCCAAACAGCACCAGACTCTGACAGCACCAAACCACATCTGGTGATGGAAACAGCACAGTGTCAAACGGTGACTAATAAACAGTCTTGGGGGTAGGAGGGAACACTGAACAATGCTCAGAGTCCTTATGGTACCAAAGGGGGATCATTACATAGCGGCTGTAAGTCAGCCTCCTCTGTTGTTCACTGACAAGTGATTTTTACAATGTAATGCCAACCTCTATCCAAGTCTGTAGGTTGCGGAAGGAAGCCATCTTGGTAACATCATATACAAAGACCACAGCATGAACATTGCGGTAGTAGTGCTCCACCATGGATTTACGAAAGCGCTCCTGGCCTGCTGTGTCCCATACCTGCACCTGTAGAGACAGACGACTTAGGTTTATATACAAATTACAGAGACAACCGATCATTACACATAGAGACAGCACTGACAGAAGTGGAAAATATAAATGGTATTCTCTTAGAATATCCAGCAGATCATGAAATATAAGACAATTTTAATATCAGAAGTAACAGCAACAGCTTTTTTGTTGCATACAATTACTTGAGATAAAATTGTACAAATGAAATAACAATGAATATGAATTAGGCTGCAATGAGTTGTCTAAGCTTGCAACTTTGCAAATCAGAACATTGCCACGTGAGCAGGAAACAGTGCAAATATATTCCTAGCTACAGGGTCTCAGGAGAGCATGGTTCTACAGTACAGTGCGTTTTTCTGCTTGATCATTAACAGCAGGTTCAGCCAATATCTACAGTATGTATCCTAAAATAATGTAATGTGGGTTAGAAGCAAGTGTCAATCTCTGGGCCTTGAAAAACAAAACTCGAAAAGCCCAGAATCTGCATTTCATCAAAACAAACACTTCCTGCTGGCTCCACAGGTGTGTCAAGACTAGATTTAAATGTCCAGCTTTACAGCAGACATAAGCATAATTACATAATTAAGTACAAAATATGGTTTTATTCTCTTTAGCGCAATTACTTTTCCATAATAAGTGTATATATGTTAAAATGCAAGACTTCACCCACTATTACCTAGACCTATAGACGTCTACAGAAAACAGCTTTCTGTAAACACTATCTTGAAGACTTTATGGGCTCAGTGACTTGTTTGAGTCATATTGAATAAAAAATGAAGTCTGTTTTGTAAATCCTGTTCATACTATCCTTCAAAGTGGAGTATTACCTGAGGTATGCAGGAATAAATGAGCACGCATTTTCGTAGTAAGACCCACCTTGGTTTTGTTTGAAAATGCTCAAGGCTTTAAAATGAGACTGCAAACAATGAGACAGCAAACAACAACATGAAGTCACAGTAGCTATGTCTAACTTTTGTACTACGTTTGTACTTAAAGACACTCCAATGAGTCAGCTCTTTATTTTTCCAGTTTGTTTATTTCTTTATTTCTTCTATTCATTTTAAACTTTTACCAAAATTAGCATCCTTTACCTTTCTAACCATGTGAGCTAGCTAGACTAGCTAGAATGCTATGTTAGTGCTAGCATTAGCTGAAAACTATTCTAGTTCCAGCTAGAACTAGAATATCATAAACAAAATGATTATGATAGATTTCAAAAATATAAAATATCTGCTGCCAATATACCAAATTTGAGGCTTCAAAAGAGAATTGATCAAATCATTAAGTGTTCTTTAACATATTATGTTTTCAAACAAAATTAGGGTATTCAAGCTGGTTAGCCAAGTTCATCAAATGTTTAGAATGTTGTTCACTACCCCCAGTCAACAGGGGAGCAAAAGAGAAGTATTTAGCCCCAGCACTGTACCATACCACTGCTTAATGAAGTAATTTTTAATAATTACTGATTTCAGATTTAGCCTTACTAAGGCCATTAGGATGAATCGGAGGTCAGAATTTATTTTCACTAATGCACAAAAACGGTTTTGTTTTTTTTCTGTCTGATCAGTAGCACTTTGTATATCAGCAGGGAGTTCTCCCAACACTTAGCACAGGCCTGCAGTGTAAAAAGGGCCAGAGAATTATCTGCTATTACCATTTGAAAGGACTAGCGCAGCTATTTATCATTAGAGGCAGAACACTGCATCAGAGCCAACCATAACATCAAAGCTCAGCGTTTCGAACGCGTGGCCCTCATGATTTGATAAGTTGAGAAAATTGCATCCTATTTAAACTGATTACAAATGGACATTATGAAAGTGAATATAAGAGATACGGCATTATGTATGCACTCAGAGGGAACGTCAGTTTAAAAAGAAACGCTGAATATGTAAATAGCATTGTTTTCATCAATTTGAAATAAGCGTCAAAAGCTACGAAACCTATTTTTTCAGGTTATCTCATGCCCTCGTGAGAATCAATGACATTATTTTGACACATCAGTCTGCTTTTCTTTTTATAGTCCTACGCAGGTTTATGCCGTTTGAAGTTGTAAATTTGTATTTTACTTATATTTACCAGCCAGAGGAATAGAAAGCATGGGAGCTGCACAGTTTAATCCCTCTGTACTTAATCCTCTGAATTTTAATGATATATTAGTCTCTTATATCAAAGGTACAAGTGAAATTTTGACTTGTATGACAACATTTTTTCCCCACTTCTACAGAATGGCCTAGTTTTTACTTCAGCAATGGAAGAGTTCACTTTTACATAAAAAGGCAGGATTTTACATTGACATCTTGGCTCTGGTGCTGAAGGCAAACTTGTGGGGGGCTCACTGAAGGGCAAATTCTCTTTACAGCATCTTCTTTAAGATAAATGTTGGCAGCTTCCTGTCTTTGAATTATCCAATCAGAAACTGCTGCCATCTTGACAAGGTCTCTGTTGAAATAGAGCTCGTCAATATCAGTGGGATTACCAGTTGAACAGAAAAATGAATGTAAAAACAAAACAATAGATGGGCCTGTTTTGATCACTCTTTAAGTATTTTAAAGACATATAGATCCATCTTTAGGGGGAGTCATAGCTGTCTCCTCTTACAGCTGCTTATGCAAATGGAGTTAATTACCAATGAGGATTAATCTTAATTTAATGTCCCATTTCCATGTACTCCACCAGCAGTAACCAGCTCAGAGAGCAGCAACAAGAAAGCAGATATTTTCACAGTCTCACAACAATGACTGTACAGTGTGGCAGGTGTGTCTGGGGAGCATTTGGATGATTCAGATACAATGACCTAATACTACGTAATGCGACTGTGCAACTGTGTTTGTGAGTCAGCACTGGGGGAACCTGGAGTATGCACACAGAATAATCCACTGAGAGAAAGCAGGGAGGGGAGCACACAAAGGTAAGCTTCACTGACATCACAGCGTCTGGTCTGAGTGACCAGCCAAGGTGTGAGTCAGGAATCACAGTTAAAGAAACGACGAACCAGATGAGTAAGCAAATTATTAACCTTTCATATTCATGCTAAAATCTTGAACCTGTTTTTACACTGTGGTCTGATGTTGGTTTTGTTACGTCTGCCAGTACGCATTGCTCCAGAAATGATCTTCAAAGTCATTACATTTTAATTTCACAATCAGGGCACATGACAGTGTGGCCTACATTTACGATGCTGCTGTCTTTACTTTGTGACTACAATAACAGCCCAGCTAAGGGGCTTGCCTCACACGTGCAAACACGGGAATGTGGTTATTTTTGTTGATTGAACAGCTTAATTGTTGCAATCACCTTGTAGACCTGCTTTATATTATACATGTAAATGAATGGCTTGCACGTGCTGAAGGTGGACAAGCGCATATTTATAGATTCTGCAGCACCACAGTCAGATTTTGATGTTTTGTTTTTCATTTAGAGTTTTAATATTCTCTTAAGAAATGTTGCATTCATAGTCAGATTTGTAAAAATATATTCATTTCTGTTTATGTTTCAAACTCGAAATCCACAAAAAGCCTACTGAGCCATACAATAGAATTCATTAGAGGCTACCTTTATCTTCCTGTGGCCTGTTACTGACTACAGAGCATGTGGCGGCAAAGAAAAAAGGGAGTTGTAGTTCTTTAGAATGTACTAAAAATATGTTTTTTTAAATGTTACATTTCTCCAGAGATATTCTAAAATGTTGCCCATCCTTTGAGAGTGTGAGGATAAAATGAAAGAAACGGCCCCCTTTGTGTCCACTGGCAGCTGATCAGCTCAGCCGAGAGGAGGAGGAAGGGTGTAGGAGTGAGGGAACACCACTGATCAGCATCCAGCTCCTCTGCTGCCTGTTACCTTGATAGTCTCCCCTTCGATCTCCACCACCTTCTCCCTGAAATCCACGCCGATGGTGGCCTCGGTCTTATCGGGGAAGCTGCCCCCCGTGAAGCGGAAGGTGAGGCAGGTCTTCCCCACGTTGGAGTCCCCGATGACGATGATCTTAAAGATCCGCGTCTGGATGCTCAGCTCCAGGGAGGAGGTGCTCAGATCCACGGAGGACGTGATGCTCGGGGCGGCATCGTTGCTGCTGCTGCTGGCTCGGCTCCGGCTGGCTCTGTGTAAATCCATGGATGATGTTAGGATCGTCACATTGTCATCCGCTCGGTGTTTTCTACCGATTGCTCTTCCACAACCACCTCCTCCGCCGCCCGGAGCTCGGGTCTCCTCCTCCGGGCTATCGTTGGTCATTATACCGGAGGAGGCGATGCGGAAATCGGGGTGCGTGTGTCGAGAAGAGGATTGATAGACGGGAGAAGGGAGGGGAAAGGAGAAAAGAAGGAGGAGACGAGGGAGGCAACAATACCAACGATGCTCCTTTCAGCAGCTGACTGTGGCCTTAAAGGGAGAAGAATACAATAAAAAAAAAAATCAATTGACTAATAATAATAATAATAATAATAATTTATGAATAATAAAAATAATTGACAATTCAATGAAATGCAGTTTAAAAAGTTGTAAATGAGCACTTGCCTCATGGTGCTTTATATTGCAATGTAAGACCCTACAGTAATACAGAGAAAACCCCAACAATCAGATGACCCCCTGTGAACAAGCGCTTTGGTGACAGTGGGAGGGAAAACTCCTTTAAAAGGAAGAAACCTCAGAACCAGGCTTGGGGAGCGGCAGCCCTGAGTGGTAATGACTAATGCACCATATTATAGAAACATAGGATATTTAAATTTAAATTTACTGAACTGCATCATTATAACCACAAAACATTGTAACATTGACGCCACAAAGGCCATTAAATATAATCAGCTGATAGCCTAAATTCAGCCAGCTCATGTTACCAGACCCAAAGAGCAATCTCACCTCCAGACTTCTAATTTTATCTCTTCTTTCTGAAATCTGTCGAGTACCTAAAAAATACCCAAACTGTTATAAAGACATGTGAAAAAAGACTCATGCCAAGCAGGGCACCTACACATCACTAGAAACACTATTTAGTCATAGTCAAACCTAATTATTGTGATATTATTTATTTATAACGTAATCATATTGTAATACTAGGATTGGAAGTTAATATAAATTACACCAGGGCCACAGGGCTTTGTCATGGTCAACAGTTCATCTCTTTACGTTCACCTTGTGTTTACAGTTCATGAGCAGAACTCTCTATTAGCTTGTTTTTCATCCACTGTCATTAGTCATAATTACTTCCTTCTAGATTCAAGATAGTATAAAGATTACAGTTTAAAATGTGATGCACTTAAAGTACTGAAGTAAACAGAAGGTTTTTCTATAATTCAAGCATTTCCTTTCAGGGTGTAACAGAGAAAGAAAGTGAAAGATTTTCTCACACTGTCTGTCGTCACATGAGCTGATCGGCTTGTCACACTGTCACATTCCATAAACCAAGAAGTTCATAATGCAAAGGATTGCAGTGTTCCCAGATTCCTCGCTCGATTTAAGTGAACAAAAAGAAAGAGCAATACAGAGAACAACCGTTTTAAAATAACATAAAGTTTTCTGTCTGCGAGTGAAACAGCTTAATGCTAATGAAGGCTGTCACAACATGAGATTGTCATGAGGCGATTCTCTAAGGCACTCCAATTCATGTTAACACAGCCACAGATGGTGACAGTCAGTACACTCCATGAGGAGTTAGCCACAGAAGGTAACTGCTGACAGGACTGGCTGTTCACAGAGTGCTAAATTGAAGAATATGAACTGAAAGTTGGCAGGAAGGGAAAATCAGGGTTGGAAAAGATGCAAAAGAAACAAAGATGACCGCAGCACAGGATTGTCGAGTCAAGGTGTTTCAAGAACTTTGGAGAGCTTCACAGGGAGTGGACAGAGGCTGGTGTCAGTGCATCAAGAGCCACCGTGCACAGATTTCTTCAGCAAATTCCTAAAACAAAGCCCTCTTGAAACAGCGACATCAGTAACATCTTACAGGGAATAAGCTGAACTGTTGTTCAGTGGTCCAGGGTCCTCTTTTCACATGAAAAGTAACTTTGCATTTCATTTAGAAATTTAGAAGGTGTTTGAAACCTGTCGTCACGTGTCTGCAGTCTCTGATAATTTGAGGTGCCACACCAGCCGCTGTCATCCACTGTGTTTTATCGAGTCCAAAGTCAATGCAACGATCATCCTGGAGATTTTACAGCATTTCATGGACCAAAGTTGTAGACCAACCAGTCATGCCACAGTACACAGCACAAGTTTTCCTCAGCTCCCAGTCTCCTGGATTATTATTATTTTAAAGTTTAGTTATTTTTGTTGCAGTTGAGATAAAAAAAAAGTCTGATGCATAACAGCTGATGCTTTGAAACGAAGAAACAGAAGGAAGAGACAGAGTCTGTTTCACTCACCGTCTGAAACGATGCTGTACAAGAAGCTGCAGCACGTTTGAGCTGCTGTGTTTCCATCTTGACTCAACGCAGCAGAAGTGACAGCTGAGAAACACGCAGCCTTGTTCACGTGTATGCACACTCACTGTTTGCTGATATCAGACTGAAATGCAGACAGAATCACCAACACTTGTTTTTCTTGCACAGACAAACAGGCGTGCCACTCTCTGTTTGAACAAATCCGTTAAGACACAGACGCAGTCTCTTCCTCACAGACGTGCACATTTTCTCTCTCTCAAAGAGACAAACATAATCCTTTTCTTACACGCACACGCACACACGCAAAAAAAAAAAAAGTCACTCCCAGTGTCAAACAATCCCAACGTTTCTGTCTGACAAAGCTCCCCTTCATCCTCAGAAAAAGGCCTGTTTGTCTGAAAGCGATGCTCAGTGGGACATTCACATTCTAGTGAGCCCAGTGAAATATAGCACACATTTGGATACACGTATACAAACAAAATAATACCCCAGTGTTACAAAAATAACATGTAGTTATCCATAGATGACTTTTTATGATTACTCAGTCTAAGTTGTTTTCCTCTCTCACTAAAACTTCAGGAGGAAAAAAAAGAAGGAAAATAACAGTTAATACATGTGAAATTCTGTCCTCTGCAGCTTTGAAATTTCAGCCTCAGTTTCCACATCTATGGCATCAAATTAAGTTCAAACTTGAAGCTTTGTTACACATACCATTATTGTCCTATATGTGTCTTTAGGTGGCACAACCAGCCTTTAGCCGGACTCCAGTCCTCCATGTCCTCAAGTTTTGTCGTGTCACTCATGAGCAGCGCAGTTAGTGAGGGTGAGTGTGAATGCAGTGCTTACTCTGAGCTGTGACAGTTACATGTGATTTTATAATTCTCTGTCAGATCAATGACACCATAACACTAATCCCATTTTAACCCTACGCTGCATCCTTTGACTTAACCTGATGCACCTCGAGAAATGTAACTACACGTCTGGTCGACGGTTACCACGATGACTTGAATGTTGTGGAAGGTTGCAGTGTAGAAATTAAAGGAGTTTCTGGTTACAATGTCAGTTAGGACATAGATTTCTTTCCACAGAAGTCTAAATCAAGCTTTATTTTCAGAAGCGGAGGCCACTGGTTTGTTCGTCCACAGGTAAAGAGATCATTGGAGAGTGTGGGATTATAATATTATTCTATGCCATGTTAGACAGAGAGTGATATTATACCCCTTTCGTCAAAAAAAGTGACAGGTTACTTCCGGAGCTCATTAATTATTCATGAGCTCCGGAAGTCCGGAAGTAGGAAGTAATTAAATTATCCCCTAATTAAATTAGCCCTAATTAAATTAGCTCCGGATGTCCGGAAGTAGGAAGTAATTAAATAATAAAAATATGATATTCATAAAAATATGATATTCATAAAAATATGATATTCATAAAAATATGATATTCATAAAAATATAATTGATTATTTAGAAAGTTTTTTATATATCAAATTAGCATTCTTTTATTTCTTTAAGCAATTAAAAAATTTATTTATTTTTTTATGCTCAAAAAACGCCATCTGGTGGTGGGTCAGTGTGTGTGCGCGCCCGCGCGCGCCCGAGGCTGTGTGTCTGGGCGCGCGGGGGCGCGCCCGTGTCTCCGGACCGTGCTCTCTCGGGCTCTGTGCTCATGTGTTTAAAAATGTATTAAACCATATTAAAATTGTTTAGTTAAACTTGTGCTTTTGTAACGTTCAGTATGGCCACAAACACATGCTGCATGCCTTGGGGGAAAACTTTATTTAGATTTATATGCATTTGTAGATTTAGAATAAAACTCATACTCAGAAAAAACAACTCGCGATCCCCGCAGCCCCCTTAACCTAATCCTTAGATACATAAGCAGGGAAATCTCCTTAAAAACCCTCCGCTATTTCTCCAAAACCCTACAATAAAACTCCTTAAAAACCCTCCGCTATTTCTCCAAAACCCTACATAATTGTTAGGGTACCCCTCTATTCCCAAAACCTTATATTCGATAACAGGGAAAATCCTGAAAAAATCCTTAGTCTTTTTTTCTCAAATTCAGCGCCCCGCGGCTCCTTCATGCTCAGCCAAACAAAGCCAAAACTCCTTTTAAAAATTTCTCCGCGATTTCTCCAAAACCCCTAGAATAACTTGTTAGCTACCCCTCTATTCCCCAAAAAAAAAGCGCTATAATCCAAAAACATTGGGAAAGCTCCTTACTCTTTTTTCTTCAAAAACTTGCCTCTTGCTAGCTACCTCTAAAATTCTACGCAGAGTCTAAGTTCTACCTCGCTCTTAATCGCACCGATCCCGCAACAGCTTCCAGAGCACAATTTTTTCCTGCTTGTTCGCTCCCCGCTCTGCTCCCGAATGCGCTGCTTGCCTCGTTTGAAAATTCCCCCTTAGACCAACTCCGCCTCACTGCGCCCCGCCCGCTGATGTTAAGACTATCTTCGAACCCCCAGAAGACATCTGACTTCAGACGTATCAACAACTGGCTCCGCTCAGACTGCTTGCGAGCTCACAGCCATGAAACCAGGGATCAACAACTACCTTCGCGTGCCCTATGTGCATATCATTCGGTAAGTGTTAATCTTCCTCTCTAACTACATTTTTGTATTTTCCTTTTTACCATTCTGTCAATCCTTTCATTTAAAAAAAATAAATAAATATCACAATGGTTTGTAACAGGTACAATACACCATCCATCCATTCGCCTCCACTTATCCTTTTCTTAGGCTCGCGCGGTGCGCTGGAGCCTATCCCACGTACAATACACTTTAAAATATATATAAGCTCCACTTTTAACTCCCGTAAAAGTTTATACATTACATGTCTACATCACCTATCATGACCTCATCGGGTATCTCATATCATCTTGTTATTGTTATGTTATTTGATATTTTGCTAGTTTGCGTGTTTTAAAACTCTTTTTGTTTTTCTTTATATTTTTAGACCCAGATGTGTTAACCTGATCCCTGTGAAACACCAGCTCTGCGTGGATTTTGACCGCGAGTGACCGGATGTTGTTTCCGGCCTGAGGTTGCCTGAAATGCCGTGAGGCTCGTTTGAAAGATTGCGCCCGAGACCAACTCCGCCTCCAAGGCATGCCTACCTTTAGCTGCCACCAGTGAGATATCAGAGCCGGGCTCCACATATCCAATCAGGAGCACGAGGAAGACAGCTTTTGCAGACTCTCCAGAAATATACAAGTCCTTACCAACTGCTCTGCAACCCAGTGTTTCTGGTCCCCTCACTAACATCGCTTTTTGAGATATTTTTTATGAACCACCAAAAAGCAATTTTACCCCACAGTACAGAAGACTGGGTCTGAGGGCAGCAGCGGGGACAAATGATTGTAATGAAGCGACGGACATTTCATGGCTGGTCTTGCATAATCGTGAGTTATTATGTCATATGGTGATAAGTACATAGTTTTGCAAGAGGCATACAAGCACTGTGGAAAAAGTAATCATAAAACTGTTTTTGTGAACACCCTACGTTATGCTTTAAAAAATGTGATACATGTAATGTGATCATCACTTATTTGTATGTTATAATGTTTTTCTTACACCATGTGTAATTTTTATAGACACCTTATTCATTGTATCAATGTGTAATTATGTATCTTTTGATAAATAAATAAAATATTTAATCTTGTATTTGTGTACTTTCTGGTGATTCAATAAAAAATTAGTCACATATCGCTCTGATAAACACAGATGGCTGAAAGAAATGTTTGATGGAACAAAGGAAACAAGTGTCTTACTGCTAAACTTTTAAGTCACCAGTTTAAATGAGAAAGTCTGTATGTAAAACATGAAAAACTCCATATCAGTGATATCTACAAAGGTGTACTCATTTCTTTGTAATGGTACTTTACTGTTCCAATGAAACAAAAAGAAAATCTCATTTTTAAAGTACATTTTTCGGCCATCCTGACCTATTTTCAGGGGCAAGAATGTTGATGTTAGACTGTGTTTTAAATCAGGTTGTGATCTTAAACTAACTATCACAGCACTGATTTCAGTTGTAATGTCAATTAGAATCCCAATTTGGCTTTTCTCCAGTCAGTGTTATGGTGAAATTTAACTTGTTCTTTTGTGTAATTGCACATGGCCCAGCAAAGGACCCCTTAGTAAACTGTACAGCATAAGTTTTCAATTCACTTTTGTCAGAAAACTTCACAGTATGAGAAGTTACAGCACAGTTTCTCCAAACGTGTGGTTCTTTTTCAGCCAGCGTGCTTTTAGAGCATCTACATTAGCTCATGTAGAAAAAGTACAATCAGTAAGTGTACTTTAACATTTGAGATTCCGAGTCACTCTTGCTTAGATCATGTGAACTATATCATGAACCTTTTTTTGTATAATGCATCAAACGTGTTCAAATCAGTTTATTTTCAATTTATTTTAACTAATCTAGAGACAAGCAACTCCTTTTTAGCTTCTGTTATGTATTTACCTCTCACACCTTAATCTAGATGTTAGTGTTCTCAGAGTTAACATGTCTCATGTTGCCATGTTGTATTTCTAATACCCATCCTCAGTGTTCGCCCTGTTGACCCTCAAATCCAAACACCAATGATCTAGCCAGGTGAGTGAGTGGAGTTGAGTGTGTGTGTGTGTGTATATGTGTGTGTGTGTGTGTGTGTGATCAGAGGTGAAGCTGCTTTCTGCAAAGTCTCATCAACAACCAGGAAGAGTCTAAAAACACTAAATATGAAACAGACCATTTACCATACCCAACACTGAGCTCCTGCACAGTCAGATGGAGTGAAACATAATGTCCCAGTGGTGTTCTGTTGGATTTAGCAGGTGAGCGTTGTTGCCAGTCAAAACCTTTTTGGAAACTCTTTACAAGAATCAATGTAATTATTTGTTTTACTTGAATCAAATGTATTGGTTTATATACCTGAAATAAAACTTTTTTTTGGAAACCCGTTACATCAAATAAAACTTTCTTGGAAAAGCATTGCAAGAATCAATCGAGTTATTTGTTTTACCCCATTCAAATCTATTGGTTTCATTACATCAAATTAAATAATTTTGGAAACCCGTTACATCAAATAAAACTTTCTTGGAAAAACTTTACAAGAATCAATGTAATTATTTGTTTTACTTGAATCAAATGTAATGGTTTATATACCTGAAATAAAACTTTTTTGGAAACCCTGTACATGAAGTAAAAGGTTTTTGATCTTGTAAGTTCTGGCTTTA